CACCCGTTTTGCCTGATTGCCTTCTCTCAACATTAATAGCGAGAGATGATCACTTTACCGTGAAAGTAGCGATAACGACTCGAGATATAGGAGGTCGCCCTGCCCGCGGGTAGAGGATGATTTGCATACCTACCGTCCTTCCCCTCTAGACAAACAAGACCAGTTCTTGCCTGTTTTATCCGTCAGCAGTAATTATAAGGACAGTTTACTCCACAGTTCAATGATTTTAGTAAGGTAGCCTAGTGGTTCAAGCGTTTGCTTGTCGGCAACATCTCACGGTAGCAGGGCTCCAAGGCTGCACTGTATGCTGAGCCAAGGGATGTATAGTAGTCCTATCCTTCAAAGAGGCAAGTCTAGATACGTGGACAGGACGCACATATATATTTAGAAATTATCATTGAAACTATTATTTTTATCTTAGAGGCTTATGGAAGGCTAATCTCACGTCTGTATACCGTGTCTTAACCCCAGTACATGGTTTTGCTGTCCGATACTCTTCCCTATTTGACTTGTACCTTATGCTCCCGTGTTTGTTCAATCATAAACTTGCCTGGCCTTTGCATGTGTTTTAACTAGTGTACAATCACATAGTATCGTCACTAATTGATGCTAGTTCATAAATACATGCTTATGATAAAGTCACAATCGTAGTTAATATTTCCTTGAGGGGAGACAAGGTAATAATTTGTCGCATGTATTTGACTGTATATCACTTTGACGTTCTGTGCGTCTACAAGTTAGGGACGCTGTCAAACAGAAATGAAGGAAAGTTTGGTTGATCGTGTAAACTCATTACAAGACAGAAATCAATGCAAATTAATTTCGATGCAAATGTGAGACGAAAGGGCTACTTTCCGTATAGTTCCATTCTAAATTTAATTCCAAATGCCGTTTAAAGTTGAAAGCATCATATGAAAGCACGGTCGCCATTGTGTATGACTGTACATTATACATTACAGTCTTTGACTTCAAAGAACCTTCCTCTGTTGATTACAAATTTCCTCACGGTTTAAAAATTCTCATAGCTACTAGGTTCGTTTGATGCAGGACGATAGGTCTTTACAGCTCAAAACCTCATCAATAATTCTTTGAAATGTGAAATCTCAGGATGACATGCGTTGCAGCCATATTCATCACATTTGTAATACATATGTAAACCTATTTGTTCTCACAGACACTGCGGGTTGTTACATTTCATCCGTAATTAAAATGGCCAGAGCAACGCTAAATCCAGAATCTCGTTAATTGGAGTCTCTTCTTGAAGACGTCTTCTTCCAGAAACCCAATGTATTAACGCGACAGCTGACCGACTGGGAGATGTACTTGTTTATTGCCTGATCGTTATATAGCACTGAAATGCCAGTCGGAAACTTAAGGGTCCAGGGTTTTTGCATGCGATGTGTAGATACCGTATACTGCGCTTCAAAGTCTGTAGACATGTGTTGATTAGATGCGTCTGCGTACGGCTGTACCTCAGTGCCAATCTCTCCTGGTGTAGGTCATCGTTGGGGGATTCGATTTCCAACCAAGTACGATGCCGGTGCAGCATCTGCATGTGGTATCGGTATTACCTATATATTAATTACATGTAGACTCATTCCATTAGCAAACAGCCTTCTATTCTGCACGGTGAAGTAATGGTAGGTGTATTCATGCGAAAGTGTTATTGCGATGATTAAACAGCCTGTCCTGGGTTTCAGAACTGACTGACTGACTGAGTTTGGTTTTACGCCGCTTTTAGCAATATTCCAGCAACATCACGGCGGAGGACACCAGAATTGGGCTTCACACATTGTACCCATGTGGGGATTCGAACCCGGGTCTTCGGCGTGACGAGCCAACGCTTTAACCACTAGGCTACCCCACCGCCCCGGGTTTCAGAAGGTATCTGGAGGAGGTATAGGTTGCGTCTACTAATGATATCGGTAACATATGTTATAGTTGGGATTACACTTTCTTAGTAAAGTACAAATTCTAGTACTTTTGTTGGGTTGGAGTCCCATCCGGGATTCGAACCCACACTCCGGGAGTCAGGCCCCAATCGCTAGCACACAAAGTCAGCCGCCTAACCCACTCAGCCAACGAAACTTGTCAGCCGCCTAACCCGCTCAGCTGAGTGGGTTAGACGGATGACTTTGTGTGCGGGCGATTAGGTGCCTGACTCTGAGGATGTGGGTTCGAATCCCGGATGGGACTCTAGTGGTTAAAGCGTTCGCCCGTCACGCCGAAGACCCGGGTTCAATTCCCAACATGGGTACAATGTGTGAAGCCCATTTCTGGTGTCCCCCGCTGTGATATTGCTGGAATATTGCTAAAAGCGGCGTAAAACCATACTTACTCACTCATTCCCTGTAGTGGCTTCATGGTTTAACCATGTGCAGAGTCGGGTTCTGGTGACTGTGATATCAGGGCCTAATCACAGTCGTAGATGGATCTGCTCACAATGAATGAGAGCCTAATCACAGTCGTAGCAGGATCTGCTCACAATGGATCAGGGCCTAATCACAGTAGTAGCGGGATCTGCTCACAATGGATCAGGGCCTAATCACAGTCGTAGCGGGATCTGCAATGGCTCACAATCATCAATGGACGAGGGCCTAATCACAGTCGTAGCGGGATCTGCTCACAATGGATCAGGGCCTAATCACAGTCGTAGCGGGATCTGCTCACAATGGATGAGGGCCTAATCACAGTCGTAGCGGGATCTGCTCACAATGGATGAGGGCCTAATCACAGTCGTAGATGGATCTGCTCACAATGGATCAGGGCCTAATCACAGTCGTAGATGGATCTGCTCACAATGGATCAGGGCCTAATCACAGTCGTAGCGGGATCTGCTCACAATGGATCAGGGCCTAATCACAGTAGTACTTGGGCCTTGAGTCTGGCGACAGTGGTATCAGGGTCCGGTCACAGTGGTATCAGGATCTAGCAACACTCGTATCAAGGTCTAATCACAGCGTATGAGAGCCATATCCCAGTTGCATCAGGGTCTGGCCACAGCCGTATGTGTAGAGATATGTATTGAAATTCCCAAAACTGACTTGATATTTCCTCCTGATCTGTCACGCCAACATAAAGTCATTATGAACTCATTCACGACAAAAAAAAGGAATGGTTGGAAATAATCCGCACAGACAAGACATATCTCATCATTATTCACTTCCTTGTTTCCCATCAATCATACATGATTTGTTCGACGTTAGGGTGTTGTGAGCGAGTGACCACTTCTGTGTTTGTTTCAAGTGAGGGTTGGTATACTGGGAGCGAGCGACCACTTCTGTGTTTGTTTCAGGTGAGGGTTGGTATGCTGGGAGCGAGCGACCACTTCTGTGTTTGTTTCAGGTGAGGGTTGGTATGCTGGGAGCCAGTGACCACTTGTGTGTTTGTTTCAGGTGAGGGTTCGTGTGGTGTGAGCCAGTGCACATGACCACTTGTGTGTTTGTTTCAGGTGAGGGTTCATGTGGTGTGAGCCGGTGACCACTTGTGCGTTTGTTTCAGGTGAGGGTTGGTATGCTGGGAGCCAGTGACCACTTGTGTGTTTGCTTCAGGTGAGGGTTGGTGTGGTGTGAGCCAGTGCACATGACCACTTGTGTGTTTGTTTCAGGTGAGGGTTGGTGTGGTGTGAGCCAGTGACCACTTCTGTGTTTGTTTCAGGTGAGGGTTCATGTGGTGTGAGCCAGTGACAACTTGTGTGTTTGCTTCAGGTGAGGGTTCGTGTGGTGTGAGCCGGTGACATCGTGTGTGTTTGTTTCAGGTGAGGGTTCGTGTGGTGTGAGCCAGTGACCACTTGTGTGTTTGTTTCAGGTGAGGGTTGGTGTGGTGTGAGCCAGTGACAACTTGTGTGTTTGTTTCAGGTGAGGGTTCGTGTGGTGTGAGCCAGTGACAACTTGTGTGTTTGTTTCAGGTGAGGGTTCGTGTGGTGTGAGCCGGTGACATCGTGTGTGTTTGTTTCAGGTGAGGGTTCGTGTGGTGTGAGCCAGTGACCATTTGTGTGTTTGTTTCAGGTGAGGGTTGATATGCCGGGAGCCAGTGACCACTTGTGTGTTTGTTTCAGGTGAGGGTTGGTATGCTGGGATTGAGTGACCAGTTGCGTATTTGTTTTAGGTGAGGGTTGGTGTGGTGTGAGCCGGTGACCACTTCTGTGTTTGCTTCAGGTGAGGGTTGGTATCCTGGGAGCGAGTGACCACTTCTGTGTTTGTTTCAGGTGAGGGTTGGTATGTGATGTGAGCCAGTGACCACTTGTGTGTTTGTTTCAGGTGAGGGTTGGTATGCTGGGAGCCAGTGACCACTTGTGTGTTTGCTTCAGGTGAGGGTTGGTATGCTGGGAGCGAGTGACCACTTGTGTGTTTGTTTCAGGTGAGGGTTGGTATGCTGGGAGCCAGTGACCACTTGTGTGTTTGTTTCAGGTGAGGGTTGGTGGGGTGTGAGCCAGTGACCACTTGTGTGTTTGTTTCAGGTGAGGGTTCATGTGGTGTGAGCCGGTGACCACTTGTGTCTTTGTTCCAGGTGAGGGTTGGTGTGGTGTGAGCCAGTGACCACTTCTGTGTTTGTTTCAGGTGAGGGTTGGTATGCTGGGAGCGAGTGACCACTTGTGTGTTTGTTTCAGGTGAGGGTTGGTATGCTGGGAGCCAGTGACCACTTGTGTGTTTGTTTCAGGTGAGGGTTGGTGGGGTGTGAGCCAGTGACCACTTGTGTGTTTGTTTCAGGTGAGGGTTCATGTGGTGTGAGCCGGTGACCACTTGTGTCTTTGTTCCAGGTGAGGGTTGGTGTGGTGTGAGCCAGTGACCACTTCTGTGTTTGTTTCAGGTGAGGGTTCATGTGGTGTGAGCCAGTGACCACTTGTGTGTTTCAGGTAAGGGTTGCTGTGTAACGAGAAGTGACCACTTGTGTGTTTGTTTCAGGTAAGTGTTGCTGTGTAACGAGAAGTGACCACGTGTGTTTGTTTCAGGTAAGGATTGTTGTGTAACGAGAAGTGCCCACTGGTGTGTTTGTTTCAGGTAAGGATTGTTGTGTAACGAGAAGTGACGACGGATGTGTTTGCTGCAGCTGGGGATTTGAGTTCTGCCCGTCAACAATACTTCAAAGTCATGAACTCGGACATCGAAGACTCGGTCCACAGCACCGGACATCGGCTCGTCATACATGTGGATTACTGGTCAGTTGAATTTCGTTGTTGAACGTTGAGTTGTCAGGTACCCAGTTAACTGTTACGTCGCTTTTACAGTTAGACCCTCGAACAATAACTGAATAATACCTACACATTTGAAAACACTTTATGTTTGCGGAATGAAATAAATGACACGAAATAGGTTCATCAGAAAGTGAAGTAGTACCTTCAGCCGTGGAATGCTTACAAAAATCATCTGAAGGCAATTTGTGTTTTTTCAAAACATGAAGCATAAATGATCTTATGTTTTGTCGTGCACTGACTATGAATTTTGTAAGAAAGGTTCATTCGCCTCGCATTTTGACTATATACGAAAGTTGGGGTTCAAGTCACATTAACCCATTATTTTCATTCTATCACATTTAAAATCGCATGGCAGGAACTTGTATGTCAGAGGTAGTTCTGTTGTAGTTGTGGTGTTGTTCGTAGCGAGCTGTATCATGTGTTCAGGAAATATGACAAGGGGATTTAGTGATGCCCATATATTTTTGTTCTGAAATAACCAAATGCTAATGGTATATGAAGATACACCCGTAACAACTATAATCACCAGTCCTTCCTGTGTACTTTATAATCATATATGTAACATTACTGTGATGGTATTTTTATAAATGTTTTAGCTATCAAGAAAAATCTGTGGAAATGTTGTTGCATCCTTTGAAGCAGAGGAAGTTAGGACAGAGTTAAAGGTGGTCATATACATACTGCCAGGAAATATGAAATGTTTACGGCACAATTGGGGTTTTGATTTTCAGTATGTATGTAACTTGTAAGCAATAACAAATGTCGGGGTTTTTTTCCAGTATGCATATCTATAATGTCAATTGAATATCGGAATATCTAGTAAGCAGTCTTTTTTCAAGGTAGATACATAAAGGTATATGACTGACGACACAAGTGCTAATGACAATCATGAACACCAAAGCAAAAGCTGCGTGTCGATTATAAATAATTGTAATATACTTCTGGACAAGTGTCATATCTGGAAATGGTTTCTTCTCAGCAAGTCCTATGCTATCAATAGGATCTGCGTTTCATCTGAATAGCAGTCAGTACGGCAAATCACATACGCCAACTATTCCCAACGAACATAGAGAATCTTCAAATCTGTATTTTCTTACCGCGGATCCTTTTTAATACGAAGTCAATGTTTCAATGCCTGCAGTTATTTCGTCAAGTAAAATAAAACCTTTCAACAGTGGGTAATTGAGCTTCTAAACCGGATTATCCTTAACACTCACCAAACACATCCCACACGCACAGGAGATCAATTAAGTACGCGTTTACAAATTAGATTATATAGGTCCAAATCAAGGCCGATATTGAAATGTTCCAATGTGTCCGTGTTGACCATTAGGCGGTAAGGGTAAATTGTGTTCTGGTACAGAGCCACGTAGTGCAGCACGGTCCACGTGTGTGTATTGTGTGTGTATAGGGACTGTATTGCCATGGGGCATAGTAGCATTAACTCTGTAATGGCCATGTTGGCTAGCTGTATATCAACATTAACTTGTGTTCGGGTCGTCTTGTCAAGTAGTATATCAACATTGACGTGTGTTAGGTCCTTGCTGGCAAGTAGTATGTTAACATTATCTAGTGTAACGACTTTTTCTGACCAAGAAGTATGTTGACATTAAAGTGTTGCCAAGAAGTATGTTAACGCTAAGGTGTTTAATGGCAGTGTTGCCAAGAGTATTAACATTAAAGTCTTGCCAAGAAGTATGTTAACATTAAAGTGTTGCCAAGAAGTATGTTAACATCAAGGTGTGTACTTGAGGTGTTACAGGAAGTATTTTAACATTAACGTGTTGCCAAGAAGCATATCAACATTAACGAGTTGCCATGAAGTATATTAACAATAACGTGTTGCCAAGAAGCATATCAACATTAACGTGTTGCAAAGAAGTATATTAACAATAACGTGTTGCCAAGAAGTATATCAACAGGAACGTGTTGACAAGAAGTATTTTAACATTAACGTGTTGACAAGAAATATATTAACATAAACGTGTTGCCATGAAGTATATTAACAATAACGTGTTGACAAGAAGTATATTAACAATAATGTGTTGCCATGAAGTATATTAACATTAACGTGTTGCCAAGAAGCATATCAACATTAACGTGTTGCAAAGAAGAATATTAACAATAACGTGTTGCCAAGAAGTATATCAACAAGAACGTGTTGACAAGAAGTATTTTAACATTAACGTGTTGACAAGAAATATATTAACATAAACGTGTTGCCATGAAGTATATTAACAATAACGTGTTGACAAGAAGTATATTAACAATAATGTGTTGCCATGAAGTATATTAACATTAACGTGTTGCCAAGAAGTATATCAACATTAACGAGTTGCCATGAAGTATATTAACAATAACGTGTTGCCAAGAAGTATATCAACATTAACGTGTTGACAAGAAGTATATTTACAATAACGTGCTGACAAGAAGTATATCAACATTAACGTGTTGACAAGAAGTATATTAACAATAACGTGTTGACAAGAAGTATATTAACATTAACGTGTTGACAAGAAGTATATCAACATTAACGTGTTGACAAGAAATATATCAACATTAACGTGTTAACAAGAAGTATATCAACATGAACGTGTTGACAAGAAGTATTTTAACAATAACGTGTTGCCAAGAAGCATATCAACATTAACGAGTTGCCTTGAAGTATATTAACAATGACGTGTTGCCATGAAGTATATCAACATTAACGTGTTGACAAGAAGTATATTAACAATAACGTGCTGACAAGAAGTATATCAACATTAACGTGTTGACAAGAAGTATATTAACAATAACGTGTTGACAAGAAGTATATCAACAAGAACGTGTTGACAAGAAGTATATTAACATTAACGAGTTGCCAAAAAGTATTTTAACATTAAGGTGTGTAATGGCCGAGTTGCCAAGAAGTGTATTCTCATTAACCTGTTTGCCAAGAAGTGTATTAACATTCAAGTGTGTAATGGCCGTATTGAGAAGTAGTATATTAACATTAAAGTGAGTAATGGCCGTATTGAGAAGTAGTATATTAAGATTAATGTGTGTAATGGCCGTATTGAGAAGTAGTATATTAACATTAAAGTGTGTACTTGAGGTGTTGCAAGGAGAGTATTAACATTAACGTATTAACATTAAAGTATATCAACTTTAAGATGTGTAATGGCTATATTGAGAAGTAGTATATTAATTTAAAATGTGTATTTTAGGTATTGCAAGAAGTATATCAATATTAACTCACCAACATAAAGATAGCAAGTCCTTCCACCCCATCATATAGTATATATTACTATCTGATTCATTGACTGTTATCAAATATTGCCATTCCGGTTGTCTCGAACATCAAATCTTGAGGTCTTTCCAGTGCCCCAAAATAGATCGAAGCAACGAACATTTATTGTAGTGAATCACAGATTCTGTGGCAGTTCAAACTATCACTGTTGTAAGGAGCTCTATTCATGCAAACCGAGAACCCCTTTCCATCCATGATGACTACATATTAAACAATTAACGGCCTTTTGTAGAATGTGAAACATCGTGATCATTCACCCTACAACTGAAACCCTTCATGTTTAAATAAGAATTATTCATATGAAATTCCTACGCTAAACATTTTCACTTTGATCGAGCCTTATATAATTATGATTTACATTAAACGGTTTCCGATTACGAATCCCCTACAATGTGTGATGTTTGATCATATTAAATTGACGCTTGATTAAATAAAATTATGCTGTGCATGAAATGAATAACAACGTTACCGCAAATGGCTCATTATCTGGAGATTACCTCGAGGTAGTATGAATATTAGAGCCTTGGCACATTGCAATTACACGTAATACTATTTTAATTATGTTTGCACACAATTGGAAATCAATGTGCTAAACACTTAAATCCTTTCGTTCTTCTGAACTATTTTTGTCATTTTCGAGGAGCTATCCAGGATGCCAACGTGCTTTGATAAAGAATATAGAGCTTGGCAGTATGGTAATAATCGCCATTAGTGTGTTTTCAGTCGTAAATGTTAGTGCATTGATGCTTGAAAACTATATTGACAAATAGAATTAGTCCGTGTGTTCCACTTCACAGCTGCTGATTCATGGACAAAGAACATTACACTTAATGGCATAAATATTGAGAGGAAAGAAGTGACAAAAATATATCTGATGTGAGATACGTTGTAATAAGGTTCTAATAAAGAATCATAAAATGTAGGTAAATATAGAACGTCACATCCAAAGAAAACCTCTTTGTGTTATCCGACGAAACTGATTTCATGTGGGTGTACAGGACAAACTAGCGGTGAAAATTATATTCATTTTGTTCTTTACTTAACACGTGTACGGATATGCCTAACTTCACAAATAACGACACTATTTGCAGATGTATTATTTTCTTTATTTAACATGTGTACGGGTATGCCTAACTTCACAAATAACGACACTATTTGCAGATGTATTATTTTCTTTACTTAACATGTGTACGGGTTTGCCTAACTTCACAAATAACGACACTATTTGCAGATGTATTATTTTCTTTACTTAACATGTGTACGGGTATGCCTAACTTCACAAATACCTACACTATTTGCAGATTATTATTTTTTTTACTTAACATGTGTACGGGTATGCCTAACTTCACAAATAGCTACTTTATTTGCAGATGTATTATTTTCTTTACTTAACATGTGTACGGATATGCCTAACTTCACAAATAACGACACTATTTGCAGATGTATTATTTTCTTTACTTAACATGTGTACGGGTTTGCCTAACTTCACAAATAACGACACTATTTGCAGATACAGATATTATTGTCTTTATAACACATGTGTATGAGCAAGCCCAACTTCAGACAAAACTACACTATTTACAGATGTATTATTATGTTTAACACACGTGTACAAATATGCCTAAATTCACAAATACTAGTGACTACACTATTTGCAGATGCATTATTTTCTTTATTACACATGTGTATGAGAATGCCAAATTTTACTCAAAACTATGCTATTTGCAAAAGAATTGTCTCCTTTATCAAAAGGTGTAAGGATATACCTAATTTACTAATATCTATGCTATGTTACATGTAAGTGCTGATGTGTCTCACTTTACTTACTGCTGCACTATATGAAAAAGTATTATCTTCTTCATTACATATATGTGTGGGTTTTCGTAACATTACTTGTAGTACATACGTCTTATCCTCTATATACAGATAAGTAAAATACCTGATAAGTAAACAATTTTGGCGAGTCCCTTGAAATTTTACTTATCAGGTTTCCACTGTACTACATTCAGTCAAACATGGTTATGACGAAGTTGAAGGAACCTGCGTAAATACTTCGAGTTATCCGAGGTTTAATACTAACAAACATGGTAAATAAGTAAGGAATACGCATAAAAATCTGCTTTTACTTCGACACAACCGTGTGTTCGACACATCAGAAATTCGATACAACAATGTTGGACAGTACATTAACATCTCCCCTCAGCTACGTGTGACCGGACTACAGCCAGATGTTCACGGAGCTGAAGCTGGCTGTGTTGTCGAAGTTCCCGACAGCTGACGTCTCCGGGACCTACTCCGTTAAAGGTAACTCACAAACTTCCTTCCTCGTTGTGCACAACACATTGATTAAGATTTCATTAGACATGAGTGAGTGAATGAGTGAATTTAGTTTTACACCGCTTTTAGCAATATTCCAGCATGATTAATGCGGGGGACACCACAAATGGACTTCAAACAGTGTACCAATGAGGGAACTCGAACCCGGGTCTTCGGCGTGACGAGCGAACGCTTTAACCACTAGGCTACCCCACCGCCCACTAGACATGAATATAATACATGTCACGACTAGATAAACTTAGAAGCAAGAGAAGATGTGTCAGCTGGTAGGTTAGCTATGCTATGATGTGTTGGTCATTCATTCATTCATTCATTCATTCCAGATGCTACATTATACATAAATGCAATAATGGATTGGGATGTCTGACTCGGTTTCATAGCGTGTCATGATAGCTCGGCGCCGCTTATAATGAGCGGTTTCCTTGTCCAAACTCGATTATTTACAGGCTGTTGTCGTATATTTGGTTGAGTTCGGTGTTGGTTCTGTACCTTGTTAGCGCCATACCGTGCAGACAGATTGGTGCCAGTTAGGGATTTCTCCTTAAATGTTTAGTCTCAATTATTCCGTCTTCAAACAGAGAAATCTTATTCTCTCCAAGCAATTCTCTGTTATTAATGCAATGCATAGTCAAGTTTACTCTAATTGTAATTTTCTTATCAAGTTTGGCTTTCAAAGACATTTGTTTTAAATCCATTCCTGTTCCATAAACCCAAACCTCCTTCATTCTCAACCCTCCGCTTTTTCCTGCTGTTGAACACAATTATTTGAGGATTGGAGAGACAACACATGAATATACTTGAATATTACATAGCTTTTCATAAATCGCCAGACCATGTACAATGAAGAACAAGGCAGGTGTTTTTGTTTTCTAAAAATCGTTATTCTATCATAAGCTCGCAACTTGATGACCTCGTAAATTGGACCACGCTGTAATCAGTTCTTCCCCATAGATGTCAATGGAGATAAATGCTATGTTCCAACGATCTTCCAAACGTGAGTGATAAACAGCCATCGGCAATGGGAGAAAGTACACAAGTAATGGCCGTCAATGGTTTGAATTTCTGAGAAAATTCAGAAAATATCAAACTTAACCCCCTGGTCATAAAATGGGCTCGTCTCACATTGCCGAGCTCGGAGCGTCTTCATGCTGTCATCATTATCTAAATACGGGTAAATGCTTTTAAAGTTTGTAAATGTTATTCATATACTTTAGGCGGCGGTACATAATTTTGATATCTCGTAGAAGAAATAAACGACTCGTGGTCCTTAGTTTTTGAAAACACGGTAGGGAGAATGTAAAGGAACTATGTGGACGGTCTTTTATAAACTAGTCATCAGGTTCCCAGCAAAATATATGGATTATTGATAACCCGCGGTGGTACCAATGACCTTATATCGTTATATGCATATTTAATGCTTACCTTGTCACAGACAAAAAAGGACAAACGGATATTGAACATGTATTACATCTTTTCGGAGAGGTCCTTTAGTTCCTGGGATTGGTTTGTAAGTGCAAGATACTATACAATACTGCTCGGTCGAATTTAAAGATTTAGTGTATGACTATGATTAATCGGTCACGGCTGGCGGGTTAAGCAAAACACAGGCATCCAATTGTGTGAGTTCTTTAAATAACACGTCACAATTTAATTCTGGACTCACAAAAGTCCAGAAACTCTCCGCACTGTGGGCACTTTCTGACAAGGGATTTGACCAAATTAAACATGCAGTTGTTATGAATATATGCCAAGGATGAAAAAATGAAAAAGATTTTTTTCGAAAACTTTAAATTTAAACTCGCTCGCCCATGGACCGGCCCATGGGCGAACAGTGGCCCATGGGCGAGAATGTTTAATTTCGACCAGAATTCATGTTTTGGAGGTTGTAAATGAATGAGTGTATGTTTGTAAGCATCATGACACAAATTTCAACTCATTTTGACTTCATTCGTCTAATTTAGACCGATATTAAAAACTTTTACTCAAAATATATGTTTTTCCATGTTTTGGAGGTTGTAAATGAATGAGTGTATGTTTATAAGTATCATGAAACAAAATTCAACTCACATTGACTTAATTCGACTAATTTAGAGCGATATTAAAAACATCTCGCCCATGGGCGAAAAACATTTTGGCCCATGGGCGAGAATATTGACTTTTACTCATAATACATGATTTTCCATGTTTTGGAAGTTGTAAATGAATGAGTGTATGTTTATAAGTATCATGAAACAAAAATTCAACTCACATATTGACTGAATTCGACTAATTTAGAGCGATATTAAAAATCTCGCCCATGGGCGAAAAACATTTTGGCCCATGGGCGAGAATATTTACTTTTACTCAAAATATATGTTTTTCCATGTTTTGGAGGTTGTAAATGAATGAGTGTATGTTTATAAGTATCATGAAACAAAATTCAACTCACATTGACTTAATTCGACTAACTTAGAGCGATATTAAAAAATCTCGCCCATGGGCGAAAGATAGGTTAGCCCATGGGCGAGAATATTTACTTTTACTCAAAATACATGATTTTCCATGTTTTGGAGGTTGTAAATGAATAAGTGTATGTTTATAAGTATCATGAAACAAAATTCAACTCACATTGACTGAATTCGATTAACTTAGAGCGATATTAAAAAATCTCGCCCATGGGCGAAAAACATTTTGGCCCATGGGCGAGAATAATGACTTTTACTCAAAGTATGTGTTTTTCATGTTTTGGAGGTTGTAAATGAATGAGTGTATGTTTATAAGTATCATGAAACAAAAATTCAACTCATATTGACTGAATTCGACTAATTTAGAGCGATATTAAAAAATCTCGCCCATGGGCGAAAAACATTTTGGCCCATGGGCGAGAATATTGACTTTTACTCAAAATATATGTTTTTCCATGTTTTGGAGGTTGTAAATGAATGAGTGTATGTTTATAAGTATCATGAAACAAAATTCAACTCACATTGACTTAATTCGACTAACTTAGAGCGATATTAAAAAATCTCGCCCATGGGCGAAAGATAGGTTAGCCCATGGGCGAGAATATTTACTTTTACTCAAAATACATGATTTTCCATGTTTTGGAAGTTGTAAATGAATGAGTGTATGTTTATAAGTATCATGAAATAAAATTCAACTCATATTGACTTAATTCGACTAATTTAGACCGATATTAAAATCTCGCCCATGGGCGAAAAACATTTTGGCCCATGGGCGAGAATATTTACTTTTACTCAAAATATATGTTTTCCATGTTTTGGAGGCTGTAAATGAATGAGTGTATGTTTATAAGTATCATGAAACAAAATTCAACTCACATTGACTTAATTCGACTAACTTAGAGCGATATTAAAAAAATCTCGCCCATGGGCGAAAGATAGGTTGGCCCATGGGCGAGAATATTTACTTTTACTCAAAATACATGATTTTCCATGTTTTGGAGGTTGTAAATGAATGAGTGTATGTTTATAAGTATCATGAAACAAAATTCAACTCACATTGACTGAATTCGACTAACTTAGAGCGATATTAAAAAATCTCGCCCATGGGCGAAAAACATTTTGGCCCATGGGCGAGAATATTTACTTTTACTCAAAGTATGTGTTTTCATGTTTTGGAGGTTGTAAATGAATAAGTGTATGTTTATAAGTATCATGAAACAAAATTCAACTCATATTGACTGAATTCGACTAATTTAGAGCGATATTAAAACATCGCCCATGGGCGAAAAAATTTTGGCCCATGGGCGAGAATATTGACTTTTACTCATAATACATGATTTTCCATGTTTTGGAAGTTGTAAATGAATGAGTGTATGTTTATAAGCATCATGAAACAAAATTCAACTCATATTGACTTAATTCGACTAATTTAGAGCGATATTAAAAATCTCGCCCATGGGCGAAAAACATTTTGGCCCATGGGCGAGAATATTTACTTTTACTCAAAATATATGTTTTCCATGTTTTGGAGGTTGTAAAAAAAATGAATGAGTGTATGTTTATAAGTATCATGAAACAAAATTCAACTCACATTGACTTAATTCTGACTAACTTAGAGCGATATTAAAATCTCGCCCATGGGCGAAAGATACAGTTGGCCCATGGGCGAGAATATTGACTTACTTTTACTTGAAACACATGATTTTCCATGTTTTGGAGGTTGTAAATGAATGAGTGTATGTTTATAAGTATCATGAAACAAAATTCAACTCACATTTGACTTCATTCGACTAATTTTAGAGCGATATTAAAAAATCTCGCCCATGGGCGAAAAAACATTTTGGCCCATGGGCGAGAATATTTACTTTTACTCAAAATATATGTTTTTCCATGTTTTGGAGGTTGTAAATGAATGAGTGTATGTTTATAAGTATCATGAAACAAAATTCAACTCACATTGACTTAATTCGACTAACTTAGAGCGATATTTAAAATCTCGCCCATGGGCGAAAAGATAGGTTGGCCCATGGGCGAGAAATATTTACTTTACTCAAAAATACATGATTTTCCATGTTTTGGAGGTTGTAAATGAATGAGTGTATGTTTATAAGTATCATGAAACAAAATTCAACTCACATTGACTTAATTCGACTAATTTAGAGCGATATTAAAAATCTCGCCCATGGGCGAAAAACATTTTGGCCCATGGGCGAGAATATTGACTTTACTCAAAATATATGTTTTTCCATGTTTTGGAGGTTGTAAATGAATGAGTGTATGTTTATAAGTATCATGAAACAAAATTCAACTCACATTGACTTAATTCGACTAACTTAGAGCGATATTAAAAAATCTCGCCCATGGGCGAAAAACATTTTGGCCCATGGGCGAGAATAATGACTTTTACTCAAAGTATGTGTTTTTCATGTTTTGGAGGTTGTAAATGAATAAGTGTATGTTTATAAGTATCATGAAACAAAATTCAACTCATATTGACTGAATTCGACTAATTTAGAGCGATAT